ATTTTTTTTTTTTTTTTTTTTTTATATATATATATAAAGTATCCAGAGTTTATATACCTATGCTTTTGAGAAGGTTTACAAAAGACTGCCCCACTTTCAAAGATGACTTGGACATAATGAAGTTCCTGTGTAAAGACCTCTGGAGCACTATCTTCAAAAAGCAAATCGACAACTTGAGGACCAACCATCAGGTCTGAAAGTGCAGTTATGTATTTAATATGTGCCAACGCATTTGCAGAATTCAGCGTTATTGTCAGTTCTCTCTGGCTTTGCTCTAGGGAACGTATGTCTTACAGGATAATACATTTGCACTACTAACTCAGTTTTCCAGTGGAAAGCAATACCTTGAAGAGGCACCTAAAGTAAGAGTGATATTTAAGTTCATTTGTATTATATCATATTCTGAGATTTTATTTTACCTATATTGTTTTTATACCATGATAAATGAAATATTGTTTATCTAAATGTGTTTGATCTCTGCAGTACTTGGCCTTTTCCTGTGGGTTGATTCGAGGAGCTCTGTCTTACATGCATGTGTGTGTATTTATATATACATAATAAATATAAACATGTACACAAAAACGTTTATTTTGGAAACTTGGCCTTTTCCTGTGGGTTGATTCGAGGAGCTCTATCTAACCTGGGCTTGGAGAGCGTCGTCACTGCAGAGGTTTCTTTAATGCCATCATGTAAGTTTATGCCATTTAACTCAACTAACTGATACATAATCAATTTATCAATAAATAAAATACTCTTTAATTTTTTTTTGGCTACATGATGTTCAAAATATTTGGGGCATTAATGGCAAACATATACATAGGTAAAGTGTGATTTGACTCTTGTGTTTGAGACTGCAGCTGTCTTCAACTGTTTTCTTTCCCTTTTTATAGGCAAATTCCAAGTTGTAATTCAGAAACTCTAGGATGGACTAAACAAGCTCTGAACAGCAGTCTTCAATTAAAACTTTGTGAATGTGAATTACATGGACCTAGATTTTTAATGTTTACAACATTATTTTTGATATAATGCTGTTTGCAGTTTCAAGGTACACTTGAGCATTTCAGTTTTTTCCTCCATACCACTTAAATTCAGCGACTTGACCTGTTTGGAAATGTCCTGAATGTCGTATTCTACCTCGACACCACTTATTACAGACTAAATTACTGTCACTGATAATCATGGAAACATATTTTCATACATATAATGACATTTCGGTACTTTTGAATATTTCATAACCTCACAACTTCACTTAACATGTTTTTGTCCACTTTTTTTATACTCCTTTGGCTGAATAAGAAAATGAAAAATGTAGGTGTTAAAATTAGATTTTTTTTTTTACAGTTTTATTGTAAAAGTAAATTATTTCTTTATATTTGGGACCATTAATATCTGTAGTTAACTCAACCCAGTTATCTGAAGCCATAATTTAGTAGTATTGACACATCTGATTTATTGTTTGGCCGAATGCGATTAATCGTGATTAATCGTTTGACAGCATATATATATATATATTGGTAATCATCAGAGAAAATATATGGATTCTGGAAAAACAGCTTTTTTAGTTTAGAAACTTATTTTTGGTTTGGGTATGTTGGATAAATGGAGGCATATGTCTTAAATGGTGAAGTTTTAAAGAAACAAATTCTTGATTTCACCAGAAGAGGGCAACCTTTGTCAATCAGACATATGTCATCTAGAACAGTGGTTCTCAAACCCGTCCTGGAGTACCCCCTGCCCTGCACATTTTGTATGTCTCCCTCATCTATCACACCTGATTCAACTCATCAGCTCATTAGTGGAGACTGCAAGACCTGAAGTGGGTGTGTCAGATATGAGGAGACATACAAAATGTGCAGTGCTGGGAGTACTTCATGGAGAGGTTTGAGAACCACTGGTCTAGAGTAAACGCTCAAAACATACTATTTGATCATGAAAGTTGCATTTGTATGATCTTCTACAAGCTTCTTGCACTTAAGGTAGTCTGAAAACTCTCTACAGCTGGTGCTTTCGTTAACTCAAGCTTTGTTTTACTAGCTGGTACAGATTTTCTATGTACTGTGGTTGTTTGTTGTTTAATGCACAATTCTGGATGAATTTATCATTAGTCAGATAAATGAAGGATTAAAAAAACATATATATCTGTAATACATTTGTGTTACCAATGCAATTAATGCATCGTAACAATGAAAATACATACATGTAACTGACATAATATGTGCATTTTGTTTCTTAGCACTACCCAAAAGTTTGGAAGTTTTAGTTTTATGCAGGAGATTCATGCTTCTATCGTTGTATTTAAATACAAATAATATATGCTGCTGTATTTTTTCTCCTCCGGTTTTAAAAATTACCATCACAGAAACTTCTCTAGAACTAATTTTGTATGTGAAAAACATTCCTAATAATCTTAGCAAAATTTAAAAGGATCATTGCTAACCTTAAAATCAGTATTCAATGTATTTTGTTTCTTGGCACTGCTCTAAAGTACTGAATTATTATTATCATTATTTTGGCAGCAATTACAGAAACCTTACTAGAACTAATTTCGTATTAGAAAAAAAAAATCTAATAATCTTAGCACAGTTTAAAAGGATGAAGGCTTTTTGAACAGTTTAAATAGCCTATATATTTATTTGAGAGAAAACATCCCTACGGAAGTAGGAAATCAAATATTAATGAATTCAGCAAAAAAACAAAGAATCTAGATGACACACATTTCCGTTCTTGACATGAGGCTGAATCATCAAAGAAAAACATGCTTTGTTGCGTTAATTATGTTGCATAATTATCGCACAAGTCAATATGTCAGCAACACAAAACGCAGCTAATGTTCTTTTTTTTCTGTTTGTAAATGCCAGACTGCTATTTTGTAGCTCGTTTGCATTTTTCTCTCTTTTGCTGTCAGATGTAGTGTGTAAGGTCATGTGCTCTTCTCCTCTCGATTATACGTCCCAAAAGCCTGCTTCTGCTGCTATGAGAAACAATCAAAAAGTGGCGTGCTTAAATGGAAGGCCCAATAAAGAAGTTTAGCAAGACTTCCCCAGTGAGAGGCCATTCATGAGCTCTCTTTTGTGCAGCAGTTTTCCTTTACTGCCGGTGGAGGTAAAGAAACGGCCAGCTGTCTCACTTCTCCTGCGCTGTCATGAAAGGGTTAGTGGAAGGCCGAGACAAGAGAGTCTGCAGCGGAGTCTAACTAAGGCCAACTTCAAACACCTTCTGTCCCACAGAACATTCGGGCAAACATCCTACACGTACACATTTCTCCTCACTTTCACCCTGTTTGGCTGGCTTTTGGCCCAACAGGCAGTTTGTTGATCTTTTAGGTCGAACTTGCCTTCTGCAATGTTGCTGCATTATAGATTTGTATTCATGTGTTTAGTAGGCTACGCTACTTTTTGAAGATTAAAACAAAGATTATTGGAGTATGTTTTACAGGAACATTTCCGTTTTTCTACTTCAAAATGTCATGTTTAATTCAGTGTGTTACTTGCAGTGTGTCGTTTCTTTGTTATTATTGATTTTACTAGTAATTTCTGAGTGGAAATAGTTTCTGCACCATTTTGTTTAGTGTATTTGTGTTCTCTTTCAGAACTTCATCAAATATTGCTGAATTTGGCTCCACAACTAGTTTCACTCACATTCTTCATTCTTTTTCAGGTGTGGGTGAGTGTGAATCTTGATTCTGAAAATTATAAATGATAAAGAGGTAAATGAAACATTTAAGACCATTCAGATGTTTTGCATTGTTTTACATTGTTTTCATGATAATTAAGCACATTTTCTCACCAAATACTCATTACTGTAATGTAGCCTAAAAAAATTGTCATCATAAAGTTAATAGTACATTATCATGTCGTGTAATTCCGTAATATGGAAAAACATGATTACTTTCAGTACCTTATTAAAGTTTTTTTTTTTGTTACAAAGTAGTAGTAGTAATAATAATAATAATAATAATAAAATATTTTTAAATAGTTTTTTTTTTTTTTTGCTATGACTAATGAAAAACAGAATTTTAAATACGTTTAATACTGTATTTCAGTGTAGAGAGTGATATTTTTAACTAAAGGTCTTGGCTAAAATAAATAAATAAATAAAATATTTAAAAATGTATAAAATAATACTGTATGGAAAAACAGGATGACTTCAGTAGTTTCATTCATTCATTCATTCTTATTTAAATAAGGAGCCTGGCTAAAAAAAATGACAAAATAATTAAAAAAGTAATAAAACAATTTAATGTTAAAAAGCTATATACTGTATACATACCATATTGATTACAAATCATATTTTATAAATACAATATATAAAATAATATAATAAAATTGTATTTATTTATTTTAAATAAAGGGCTTGGTCATATATTTTAAGGGTGTTTGTATTGTCATTGTCTTATGGAAGGCAGATTCCCCTGTTAGTGATACCCATCTGCCAGATGCATGTGAAATGCTTGCAAAATGCATGCTGCTTTGAAATGCCTGCTGAAAAAGCTGCTATGCATTTCTTTGGTTAACTTGCATTAATATCTCGCAGAGGAACATACAAATGATAAACTGCACCGGGACAATACAGCCCAGACACTCCTCTCTGCATCCTGTGTGTTTGTGTCCCTCCCTCGTCTGTGCTCCTCAAGTGCTGCGGGGGGATTAATGGAACTATGGGAACTCGAGCCGCAGCTGCTCCATCAATGCAGCAGGAGGAACACAAAATCCCAGCACAACACTCCACTGATTTAAGTGTGATGCCTTCACTAGCCTGTTCATTAAACTCTATTTAGTGTACTGTGCTGGAATCGAGGATCAGTGTAAGATCAGCCGTGGTGTCAGTCAGAAAACACTGTGGTCTTTAAGGTTATTTAATGAGGTGGTATATTATGTTTTGTAAAGATTTATACAGGCATACACAACCAGTTAAATGTTTATTATTACTTTTGTTGTTGTTGTTGTTGTTGTTGTTGATATTTAAAATAATAGTAAATGATCAAAACTATGAAATAACACACATGGAATTATTTAGTGATCAGAAATGTAATAAAATAAAATGTGAATAAAAAAAAGTTAAAAATAAAATTTTAAATATTTTATAGAACTAAAATAAAATACTTTTCCACATTGGAATACTTGTTCATAATCATACATAGGATGTTTTTAAGCAGTTCTGGAATTCACCAAAAATAAAAATAGAAAACGGAACAAAACAAAATAAAAAAACTAAAATAATTTGTAATTTTACAGATTATTACTCCTTTATTCCCCAAACTTCGCGTATTGTTACCTTATACCTACACGGAGGTACTGAATATGTAATTCTGTTTACTTACGCAGTACATTGCGGGTTGTAATCTAAAGCGTTACCCGGGCCACACACATATATAAAACTCTTCACCTAGACACATTCAAGTGTGTCCAAACCTTAGAGTCATGCAGTTAGGCCATCAGGGAACTGTTTAACATCTTGATTGACAAGAAAATGGGTAACAACCTTCCCCCTTGTTGTCTTCTACATAAATTGCCAAGATTTTCAGCAGGACAAATCCCAGACGTGGACCTGGGGTTGAGGGGGTGGGAAACATGCTTTTAAAAGTGGCAAACAATAACTTTTAATTTGCCACTCTTATTTCAAAAGGGAACCAGGCAGCAGTCTCTTTGTAAAAGAGAGAGAAAGTGGGCCACAATGCCGGGATATCTGTGGAGTCTTTCTTTTTACTATGCTGAAAGGATTACACTTTTAAAAAGAAAGAGAAAAAAACTAAAGACCTGTACCTAATCACTTCCCCTGGTAATTCCTCGGCTTGATTAGAAGAGGGGGACAGAGAGCGTAGTGGGATATCAAGAGGATTTGAGAGGAAAGGCACTGCTACCTGAAGTCTGTGTGCGTCTGAATTGATTATGTACAAGATTTGAGGTGATGGACAACTATTGTGAAGGGAATGTTTACTGCATTGGTTCAACATTTAATAGGATTTATATTTACTTATTTTCATGACACCACATTAAATATGATGTCCACCCTGATTATTGTCCATTGCTGAACGTAACAAAGACCTAATATGTTTAAAACAGTTCAATATTAAAGAAATAGTTCACTAAAAAATATAATTTGCAATGTAATTCTGTTTACTTACGCAGTACATTGCGGGTTGTAATCTAAAGCGTTACCCGGGCCACACACATATATAAAACTCTTCACCTAGACACATTCAAGTGTGTCCAAACCTTAGAGTCATGCAGTTAGGCCATCAGGGAACTGTTTAACATCTTGATTGACAAGAAAATGGGTAACAACCTTCCCCCTTGTTGTCTTCTACATAAATTGCCAAGATTTTCAGCAGGACAAATCCCAGACGTGGACCTGGGGTTGAGGGGGTGGGAAACATGCTTTTAAAAGTGGCAAACAATAACTTTTAATTTGCCACTCTTACTTGCTCACCAAATGGATGCTCTGCAGTGAATGGGTGCCGTCAGAATGAGAGTCCAAACAGCTGATAAAAACATCACAATAATCCACAAGACTCCAGTCCATCAATTAATGTCGTGTGAAGTGAAAAGCTCTGTGTTAGTGAGAAACATTTTAACATTAAAACATCACTTCTGGCCAAAATATAAGTTCATAATCCATAATAATTCTTCCTCCAGTGTAAAAGTCCATCCTCTGTTGTCCTCTCACATCAAAATCCACCCACATATCTGTTTAGAAGTGTTTTGGACTGTTTTTGCTTGTAAACGCTGCTTGTGCATATTCCTCTTTACCTGGAGAAAGAAAGCAATATTATGGATTGAGGACTTGTGTTTTAGCCAGAAGCAACGGTTTGAAGTATAGTCTTGGGGAAAAAAAAAAACCCCCCGCAGCTTTTCACTTCACAAGATGTTAATTGATGGACTGGAGTCATGTGGACTACTTGTGGATTATTGTGATTGTTTTATCAGCTGTTTGGACTCTCATTCTGACGGCACCCATTCACTGCAGAGGATCCATTGGTGAGCAATTGATGTAATGCTAAATTTCTCATCTACAACTCATCTACATCACGGATGGCCTGAGGGTAAGTACATTTTGAGCAAATGTTAATTTTTGGGCAAACTATTCCTTTAATGTGTAAAATTTAATGTGTTACATAAATGTACTTTTCATCAAATTTGCATGTCATTTTAAGAATATTTACATATTTTACTGGGAAACATGACAAAATACCATTTAAGATTTTTTTTTTTCTGTGTAGTTATTGCCACTTGAAGCATGAATCATGTTTAAAACCTTTTCCAGTAGTATATTTACCACATCAATATATTCACAAAACTTTTCCCCCTTTATCTGAATTGCTGTTCACACATCAGCACTGAAATTGTTAAGATGCGGATGCATGTCATTTGCCAGAAATTACCTTTAAACAGCTGCACCATTCAGCACCTGTCCAATTTGAATAATTTAAACTTTGTATAATTTTTAATCAATACAGAATTTTTTTAGCAATGTTTCAGCAGACTTTTTAAGCTGATGGAGCAACAGATAAATATGTAAACAAATGAAATGTCTGTCATTATTCACTCACCTTCATGTCGTTCCAAACCTATATGACTTTCTGACTTTGTTCAGTGGAACACAAAATAAGAGATTTAGAAAGATTTTGGCAACCAAATGGTTTGGGGTCCAATTGACTCCCATTTCTATGGACAAAATATACCATGGAAGTTAATGGGAACGAAAACTATTTGGTTATCTACATTCTTCTAAATATCTTCTTTTGTGTTCCACAGAAGAAAAAATATATAAGTCATACAGGTTTGGAACAACATAAGGGTGAGCAAGTGATGACAGAATTTTCATTTTTGATTGAACTAATCCTTAAAGATTCTGTACATTCATAATAAAACAAATACGTTTGAATTATTTTTGCCCGTTTATCTTTGCGCTGTTGCAAGTTGTTGGCTTGTATACAAAAATAGCATAAAATAGCATTTTTAATATCAAGACAGTCTCATCAGCAAAAAAAAGCAAAGCCTCATTCATTACTTTGAAGTGGTTACTAAATAGACAACTTACATTTTATTGCATATGCAAAATTAGAAATGTTAAATAAAAGTGCACAAACCCTCATAATATAGGAAAGCTAGATACTCTAGCTTATCCTTCACTGTTTACCGAATGAAATGCTGTGTCAGTGGTAATCCGTTCATTGGCAGTCACTCAACCTTCTGAGCTGATTCACTCTATGTCACACTGCTGGGGTCGAATAGCAACCCTTCTTAAAAAAAAAGAAATAAAATAAAATAAAAGAATGTCCACCTCTACCCAATATGCCCCCCACTTCTTCTGCCACGGCATCCCATTTGACTTCTCCATGGTGATAGGACATTTGTGCATTTGTGCAGTGATGGACGATCTGATAGACAGTGCTTTTGCCTCGCTGGCTCTTCTTGAACAGTCCGCATTGCGCTGAAGCTTTTGTCCAGGGTCTCGCTACGTTCCTCCAGTTCTAATTGAATCAACAGGATTGCTGTTACGAAGAGCATCGAGGCAAGGGGGTCTCTCAGAGGGCAAAGGACGGGTCAGGACCTCTGATCCCAGCGCAGTAGCTACTGGGCATGGCCAACTAGTGTCAAACTTTGGGCACTGGGATGAATTAGCACTGTGTTAGTAATGAGTCCCAGCTGGAGCTCAGAGCTGGAGCATTGTAAAGGAGACTTCTTATTTAATCTGTTATAAGAAAACTTACAAGCTGTACACTCACACATGACAGCCATTCATGTGAAGAACTCTTCATAAGAGAGTGTTGTTCACTTTAATCAGACAGTTTAAAGAGGCAAGTGTAAAAGAAAGCGCTTGTTATTTGTGACAATAACATGCAAATGTGTTGATTCTCCAAGAGTGGACTGAACTTTATGCACTACTGTTGCCAACAAACAAGCAGTCAGTTCATGGTAAGAGATCATAAAGTAAGTCTGGTACCAGTTCTAATTTCTTTATAATGCTTCTAGTTCCATAACATTCCATAACATTCACATTACCAGTTCTTTTAGAACTTTTAAAGAACAGATATTGCAATAATAAATACACTTAAAACAATTCTCAGAAAAGTGTGTTTACATAGCTGAGTTTGATTCACTCTTAAAAAGAGTCATTTGTTTGGGAATCAGATTACATTGGTAGTGCTTTATATTTTTGATTCATTAAAAATAACCGACTTCTTAATACTAATTCGCCCAGGAATCAGAACTGACTCATTAAAGTCATTATTTCGTGAATCAGAACCATCTCATAAGAGTAATTAGTTACAAAATCAGACTACTTTGGTAGTGCTTTATGTTTTTGATTCACTAAAAAGAACTGATTTATTAGACTCATTCACTCGGGAATTAGACTACACTGGTCACGCAGAATGTTTTTGACTCACTAAAAAGAACTGACTCAAAAGAGTCATTTACTCGAGAATCAGTGCTGTATGTTTTTTATTCACTAAAAAGAACTGACTCATAAGAGTCATTTGTTCGGGAATCAGACTTCATTGGTTGCACTGTTTGTTTAATTCAATAAAACGAACCGACTCATAATATTCATTCATCCGGGAATCAGAACCAACTCATAAGAGTCATTCGTTTGGGAATCAGATTGGTCACACTGTATATTTTCGATTTACTAAAAAAGAACCAACTAATAAGATTAATTTGTTCAGGAATCAGAACTGAATCACAAGAGTCATTCATTCGGGAATCAGACTACGGCTGCATCCGAAAACCTATAGGCAGCTGACTT